AAAGGTTATGAACTGTGAATCTGACAGCTGTAAACATATAGGAGTTAGTCTTTAAACTAATGCTTTGAATTTAAGACCAGAGCATTCTCTCTGACAGTCTACACTGTTCTATCGCTTCCTACAAATGTGTCCACTGGACTGGGCCCAACACCCTAACAAAAGGTAGCTCAGTTTGAGAGTAGCGGCCCCTGGTATAGCGGGAAGAGAAACTATTCAGGACACTGATACCTCTGATTGCCAGTTCAGCACATGACGCACTGACTCATCCTTTCTCGTCTGAGTCACTCCCTCCCTCCTCTGGTCCAGGATACGTGTGACTCTCTGCTGGAGCTGCCTCCTCTGTCCTCATGTCCACCCTGTTGCGCTCCATGAGCAGGAGGGCAGCCAGCGATGCAGACGGGCCCCTGCGGAGGAGCTGCAGAAGGTGTTTGTGTTCTAATGAGTGTCTGTTTTGTGGAGACAAAAGACGGTGGTGTGCTGCATTTGGTGGCCAGAAAAAAATGGGCCAGAGGAGCAGAGGAGGTTCTTGCTTAAACCCAGCTTTACATGAGTTTTACAACAATAAAGACACACAAAAAGTGATTTTAACGGTTTTAGTAGAAAAGTACCCCCATTTCAGCCTTCAGATACTGATTTCCTTACTCTGTAGAAATATTTAATCAGAATAAAAAAGTGAAATAATTCAAACAAGCATAAAAAATTCGAGCTTTTGGAATTTTCCAAACAGAATAATAGATTTGATGACTCTCAAACTATGTTTATATTCTTTTTTTAATTTTCCAATTAAGGTCTGGTAATTCAAGCATCCTTCAAAGAGCAGTTTTTATCCTCATTCTTAAGAAATTATGTTTGTGTAAATCCAAAAAAGTAAAAAAAAAAAAAACCAAACCACTGAACTTAAGTTTTCCAAGTTTGAAGACATTTTTTTCCCATCCAGCAGACTTGTCAATTCAAAATGTATTAGCCTTCAGTTGCAGGCTTCATACCGTAGCCCAACAAAGCTTTGTTATGGCTTAGAAAACATGAAAATTGAACTGAAGAATAGGTCCATCCCTTAATTATAGGGAGTTGTTGAGGTCATTGTTGGCCTGCAATACCAAATACTGGCCTATGCCTCTGAAAAGGGAGTTGTTAGGGTCATTGTTGGTCGTGCTGACCAGGTGAGATGTTTTGGTCGCCTGCATGACGATGAGGGTTGAGATGATAGCGGAAGGAATCAACTTTATCGCCACTTTCTAGGTTTTCGAGTCCACCCCCTCTGTTTAATTTTGTTTTTTTCTCTCTTAACATAAATGGCTTCCTTCACACCCCTTTCAAACCACCTCTCTTCTTTGTCCAAATTGTAAACATTCTGGTCCTCAAATGAACGTCCTCTGTCCTTTTGTGTAGATGGACAGCAGAGACAGACCTACACCAACTAAAACTAGACATTTTTTTTACCTAAAGATAAAATAAAGGAACAACCAAAAATAATTATTGTGTTATTATTGTCATTCTGTTGTGGAAATCCTATGCAAATACAGCATGAAAAGAAACCAGGACCAAAATGGTTCCTATTAACTGGAAATGGCAATATGTGATAGAAATCTTTTTTGTATATATTTTTCAGTTTTTAAAAAAAGGGCTTTTGCCGCCCTACAGACTCACAGCGCCCTGAGCGGTGAGCCTCCTTATAAAAGAAATCCACCGCTGATAGGGAGGAACATCAAGAGGAACTGTTGTGTCTCCTCTCCAGCTATTCTTTCCTGCATGAAAAGCATATTTACTAATCGCCACCTGGAAAAGAGAGCACAGCTCAACCATGAGGCACAAGCCCAGATTTAACCGTTTTTCATGGTGTTTTCACAGCTTTTGAGCAACATCAAAGCAAAAACAAACAAAACGAAAAAAAAAAAAAACCCCACTCCAGTTAAGCTCATTATACAAATGAGCTCTGAGACCCGCTGCACACAGCCAGCAGAACACACGTGAATGATGACACCGTCAATGAAAAGGTAAACAAGTTAAACAAGCCGAGGCAGATTCTCATGGGATGCTCTTTACTTCCCAAATTTCATCCAGCCTATACACAAAGTTCAGCATTTTTTATTCCCAAGCATTGCTCCAGGGAGGACATTAGACAGGCATGAACTTTGCAGAGATTTTTACGGTTCTAAGAAGATTGGCCATGGATAGATGAGGCTGCGTATCTCATCAGGGATCTCATAACGGAGCAGGACGACATTCCCAGACAGGGGGATGAACATTTGAAGCTATAAATGGATGAGTGGCTATTTATGCATCTATGATGAACTTTACTTTGTTGACCACTGATGTTTCCTGCTGTTAGACCAGGGGAATGGTTTCATAAAAAAAAAAGGATATTTGTTCAGATTTCATCCAGTATCTAAAGCTTTTCCCTCCCTCAGCCAAAGCAAGAGTCTGGTTTTACATCTACAGCCGTCAGCAGATCCATAAATATATCTCACTTTTATTGTTAGATAAGATTTTAAGCTATGTTTTGCTGTTTACTGCAAATGGATGCAGCACCTGCTGAAGTATTCACACCGTGAACAGTTTCAACATTTAAGTCACATCATCACCACGCAAAACAATCAGATTGGATTGAGCTTTTTGGTCTCCCCACAGATTCTCTAGTAGTTTTAGGTCTAGACTTCGACTAGGCCATTCAACCTGATTAATATGTTTTTCATCTAAAGTTTAATTGTACCTGTTGTTGTGTATTTAGGCTTGTTGTCCTGCTGGAAGGTGCATCTCTTTCCCCAATCTTTAACCCTATTCTTCTTTAATACTTTTAGTTTGGAGTTGTATTAAAAGTCAGGGCAACCCAACTTGAGATCCTTTTTTAAAATACTGGAATATCCAATCATTTAGGAGGAACCAATGTTAGTATTAAACAGACGACAGTTGGTTTCTCTCCATTTATTGTGTTCTTACACTAAAGAACTGTGCTCCAAAGTAAATATTCTCCTACACCATGTGTCTGCTAGCTAATGAGCTATTAAATTTGGTTTATTTAGCTAAATCAGTGATAAACAGTAATATGGGACATTGAGCTTGAGGTTGGCTCTAATTTTAGGACGTTGTCTCTCCAACAGGGATCTTAAAAATGTAAATTCCCAGAAGACAGAATAAACCAAATCTCCTTATCCATTCTGCCATCAGCTTTCTTCCTGCCACTCCACAAAGCTTGTGGGATGCTCCATCAAAACCTTTACCTGAGCTGTGGACCGCACCAACTCCTCCAGAGTTACTGAGCGTCCTGGTTACCTCCCTGGTTAATTGTTACCACCTCTGCCTATTAGTTTGGTTATATCAGTTTAAAATGATTAATTAAATATTGTTTTTTAATACTAAGATTTTAATATCGATAATATAAGCTAACTATGCTTTTAACATCTTTTATCTTCATCCCTGACCTTTTTGATTTACTCTGCATGATAGTGTTTGTGCACTTATGTTGTATAAAAAAAACCTTGTAATGTCGCCATATTTGTGAAAACAATAAATGGCACATAGGTAAAACCTCGATATAAGGGCCGACTATAAAATGCAAAATATTTCAGAAATTCATTCATAAAACAATGAGTTATTGAGTATTATTAGTCAATACGGTCAGCTTATCAACCCTACTTTGTCTGAACCATGCTACTTTAATTAGACTGATGCCATACCTGCTGAGTTGAACTGGTGCTAGGTCGATGAAACGCCCAGTTTCAGGTCAGACTATGCTGTCAGTCCCATGCAGAGAAAATAGGAAATGTGCAATTTAAAATGTACATTAACATTATCAAAGCTCTTATTAGCTGTAAAATATTAATGCACAATAAGCAGACAGCACTTTTCAGCTCTGAGTGAACCAAAATGCATCCATTAATTGATAATGTTTTCTGTTTCAGTGTGAAAATTCATTAATTTCAATGTTGAAGCCGTTTTCACAGATCGAGGTCCAGCTTCTGAATTAAAGCAAAGCTGTTAATCGGCTAAATAAGCTGAAAGTAAATAAGATTAGGTGAAAAATAAACAGGTCGATTAACTAATGGTTGATTAGCCACAGAAGATTTATGGATATAGAACAAAGAATATAAACGTATGATACGTTCTGAAACTCTCAAAAGTTTACATTTTCAGATGGAAAGTCTGCTTTGGAAAACTGTAAAACATCTTTCTTAGCCTTAAAAACCGACTCAAAGCAGCAGTACCTAATGATGTTAATCAGATTTAAAACTGAACCTACATAAAAAATATAGGTTGTCATACTATTTAAAATAGTAAATAATCCTACAATGCTCATGCAGACATCAGATCAAATTATTACTTTCTAAAGTTGTAACCTGAAGCAATAACACACTACATAATGGTTAAAGAAACAGTTACTGTTTCTCTGCATCATTAAGGCTGAAATGCTGTTTCCATATAAAAGAAAAATTAGTTTCTTATTATTTTTTAATTTTAATTCTAATCTTAGGTTCCCGAACTTAACGACCTCTGGAGAAAACTGCACAGCAGCTCTGTGACATGCCTCTGCATCATGGAGCTGATGGTTCTCTCAGTTAAAAATAACTTTTCTCAGATACAACAAAAAATTTAAAAAATAGCGAAAGAATAAAGCTCCCACAAAATATACAAACCAAATAAAGAGAACAATGTCAGTTAAATACAAAACAAAATCAAAAACTAGAAAAAAAAAGACATTTTCTCAGACTGCTTTTGTACTGTTTCTAAAGGAAACTATCAATCAGGAAAATAACATAATATAAAGAACTGTAATGCTTGAGCTAAATGTCAAAATTAACAACAAAAAAACAAAACTGTGGAATATGTTATTTCCTTGCCTCCAGCAACAGAAAACTTCCTGAGTTAAGTTTAGGGTTTTATTGAATTTATGTCCCCAAACATATATATATATGGCTGCTACTGAGAAACCTAGCCCAATGCTAACCTGTGTATCTGCTACTGAATATTTGTTTCTTAATTAATGTGAGGCTCTCTAAACAATGTTAAAATGCAGACAATGAAAACATTTTTATTGAAAATACAAAGAATTTCCACAACTGGAAAACAAACAATGGCACAAGTTGTCCTTTTTTTTTTCTTTTTCAACAGATCATAAGTGTTTAACAGACATGTCAACAATATTTCTTGGTTATGATTTAACACAAACACAGCATGTATGACGGCGATAACGGGTCTGTTGTGGAATGAACGTTGAGAATGGAACAGGGGAAACTTTCATATCCAGCTTAAAAGATCGCTACAGAAAGGTGTAAACCGTTAGAAACAATAAATAAATAAAAGAACAAAGGTCACATTCACCGATATGATCAGAGTTCTGGACATTTTTAACCCAACCAGGGCGATGAGTTGGAGAAAAGAGCTGAAAACAGGAAGCTGTGCAGAAAATCCCGATTCATCAAACCGGATGAGCTTGATCCAAATTATCTGTTAAAAAGTAATAAAAAAGAATTCACGGTGAATTAAAAAAAAGACGAAGTGGAATCCTTTTTATACCAACCCTGGAGAGGAAACCGTTCCTACCTGTCCAGACGGCTCACCACATCCCTCACTGTGCTGATGAGGCTCTCATGCTCCTGGGGGTTACTAACGATGATGCTGTGGAGCTTCTTCATGTAGAAGTCAATGCTGTCAAGGGTGGGGGTTTCTCCGCTGCCTAGAGGCAAAAAGCATGGACCCTCAGCGTTTCTTACAGTTCTTCATCCGCCTCCATTTTCTAACTTAAATCACAAACCGATTCCCGCCCACTGAACCTTCTTACGACTGATCTTTTTAAAATACCTCTTTTTATATGTTACTGAGTTTGTAAACAGAAAATAGATAAAAGATTGATAAACACTTCAAATCAAAATCTAGAAAGCGTGGAAAGTATTTATACTATGTAAAACCAGATTTGTCCGCAAGTCTTTCTAGGTGTTTGTCCGTTTTTTCCCATCTAGAAACAGAATTTTTTTCCATTTATCATTTCAAAATAAGTACAACTCTGCTTCAATTTAAAGCTTCTAATATTAACACAAAAGAAGTTTAGCTTTGCCTGCTGAACTATAAAAAATTATAAAAAGTTGATGTGTAAACCATTGCGGATCCAAACAGAAAAGGGTTTGGCATGCTGGCCTTATAAGAAAGGTGAATAATTTCCCTCATTCTCTCACTGTTGCTTTTTATTTTCTCTGTATTATTTAGTTTGCTATCATATTCTAGATCTGGTTCATGTTTAGGTTCCTTGTCTTTGAACCCTCACACAGTCTTCCCTCCAGGACTAGATCCTCACAGCATGATGCTGCCACAACCAGGCTCCATAGAGGGCATTATGGAGGCCAGTAAACCCAGAGACCCTCCTTTAGTCTTTCTGAAAGCAGAGGATCCAGCTTCATTCTGTCTCATTTGATGGCTCTCAGAAAATCTTTAGTTGGATCTTTTGTGCTCTTAATTATTGTGCTTTCAGGACTTCAAATCAACCAGTGTGTCTGTTTTGAAAGGAGAACATTAGGAATAAACTCTTCAGATTTATAGAGCTTTCTTCAGGAAGAAGCCAAACATTGAAGTAAAACACCTGAGTCATAAACCTGTAATTATAAACTGCTGTAAATGTATTTAACCTATTAAAAGGCCACTATCAGAGTGGAGAGCAAAAGTGAAACCTTTTTTCTTTGGAAGGTCAGAAGCTTGCAGGTTTTGCTTGACCTACTTTAATTGAACAGCTCTTCGACACAGAGTCTAACATTCCTGTTCTGTAATCATCTTTCATTATGGAGCTCTGATGCAATAATTACATCTATTTCTGGTGTTTGCTGAGTTTGCTGCGCTGTTTCTGTGGGAGAAGTCTAAAAATGTGTGGAGAAAAAGATATTAACATGAAAAAAGTGAAATAAATGCAGAGTTAGTCTGGACCCTGTCTGTTTAGAATATCACCATCACAGATCCCATTATACATGATAAGAGGATGAGTCCAGGATATTAGGCGATCTAGTGCTTTGCCAAACAGTTTCTGTTCCTTTTTTTTTTACCATTTTGCAATGTTAGAATCAAACTCTTCTTGTTGGGTTCAGAGAGACAAACCAACACAATGAAAATAGAAATCAACTTTTACCTATTTCCACTGAAATGGGTGAGTGCAGAAAAAAGCTGCATTTCTTTAGACTTTGCAGCATTGTGTCTCTCAGCCTCCATGTTTAGGAATGTTCACCTGCTGGAAGGTGAACCTCTGCTTCAGCTTCTAACAGCTTTTTGTTTTTTATACTCTGATCCATGGTTCCAAGGATGACATTTCCTGTCTCTACAGACAGGAAACATGGTCAGCCTGATACAGCCATCATGTTCTATTTTCAGGTCACTTGCTTCAGTGTGACGTGCGGCGCTACGCTTCTGAGGGGCAAAGTTTTTCTGGCATTGAGACTCTTTTCCAAGCAGTTCTGAATCCCCTTCATGGATTTAGGATAACTTCACTCAATTTCTTATTAATCTATTTGAAAAACGTCTGACTTCCTGTTTAATAACATCCTGCTAACTGAAATTCCTCCTTTGACTTTGTCTGACATCTCTGCACTACAAAAACAATCTAGAAATAAGTATTCTCCATTCGCCTTACTTGCCAATGGAATGATGATTTTTACTCTTAAAATAAAGTCATTAAATAATATACACATTAAATAGGACAATAAAATGGTTTTCTTCTTATTTTAAATGTAAATTGTCTTGTTCCATTGGAAAAGTGTCTCAGTTACCTCCTCAATTCCAGAAAAAAATGCACTTATTTTAAGAAAAATGGACTTATCTAGATTTCTTTCCAGTGTGGTGTGTTTTCTGGGGTTCATGATGTCATTTGTTGCCTTTTGTTTATTAACAAACCCCTGAGGCCTTAACTGAGAGACTGCTTCCACAATAAATGACACACAGGGAGACTTTCGGAAGTAAATTAGTCCCCTATGAGTTCCATGAAGCAGAAAACGCAGCAAGAATCGTAGAATTTAGCAAATAACATAGAATGTGTTAAAAAAAAACAAGGAATTCACTGTTTTGGGAAAGAACTAAGGTCTTTTGTCCTCTGCCTGTTCGCATATATAGTTAAGCAGGGCAGGGTTTTGTTTCTAAAACGACAAAAAAAATAGGTCAGCCATGTCAAAGAGTCATGCAGAAACACCAAAGTCATCCAGAAAGTTAAAAAATGTTAAACTTAACACCAATTGTTATGTTATGTCTAGTGTTATGAATCTGGAGAGCAACTTTTCTGCAATTCTTTTCATCACAGGTCGATTGGAAGCGTAAGTACAACTGTGGCACCCACGCCACATGCGTGAGCCGCATACGGTTGCAGATTCAAATACGTCAGTGGAAGCGAGGCGTGAGTTTATTGAAGATTTTGTTGACATATATGCGGAATCAGACATTCCTTTAGAAAAAATGTGAAAGATTAATCCATTTTTGATAAAGCACTGCAAGCAAGGGGGTGTGCTACGAGGAGACGTTTGCAGCATCCATTAGAACCACCTTACCCGGGTGTTTGATCAGCATATGGAGGCTGTCCAGAAGAAATTGCAAGGAAAAAATAATATGCTGTGGTCGACAAAACAACCGATGCTCGAGATTACAGCGTTCTGAACATTGCTGGTAAATAATTTTAGCACACCACAATGAAAGAAGTTATTTAAGATATTGTTTTTGAATGTGAATGTCTTAGCATGTCTTATACTATTTCAATATATTTGTTAGTAATGTTAAAAATAATGTTAAAAAGGGAAAAAGTGGAATTTGGGGAAAAAACTAAACGGAACTTGTGGAAAAAACTAAATGGATTTCATGGGACCCTTATAAATGATTCTGATAAAATACACAGACAAAATGAGAAAAGGTCATAAACTCTGCAGGGTGCTTAAAGTCCCACCTGGCAGAGGAACCGATGAGAAGCTGGAGGTGAGCGCCTGGCGCAGAGTCTCCAGGTGCTGGTGCAGGAGCCCGTTGCGTTCTCTCTCTTGCATCACGTCGCCCTCCAGCCGCTCCACCGCCCCTCGCATGCTCTCCACGTGCTTCTGCAAGGCTGCGTTGCGCTCCTCGTACTCCATGTTGGTCTTGCGCAGCTGGCGCATCTCAGCTTCTCGTGCTAAAGGGGAAAAACGGCGTTCAAACAACAGAGAGGTTGGCGTTCTGCTCTCTTATTCTGATTAGAGAGTCTCATGAGGTTCAGCCTTCTCACCTTTGCTGTGGTTGAGAAACTCTTCTGTGAAGATTGGTATGTCAAACACAGTCCTGTCCTTTCCCTCTGCGTCTTTCTGTTTGCAGGCAGAGACATGGGAAAAGGGGGGGATTAGCCAAACGCTGTAACAGACTGTCATTTATCTTACTAGGTCCTGTGTGGGCTGGTAATTGATTTTATATCTGGCCAAGAGACATATACAGAAATCCAGTTTCATGAAATGCGGGGATGGAAGTAATTTCATCATTGGTGCATCTCAGATATGGAAGCTTGGCAATAAATCTGCACTAAAAACAGCCGTCGAAATAGAGACACATGACACAATGGAGCTCTGACTGCAGCAAAGCTCCATCGTTCTTCATTTCCCAACATAATGACATCCATGCTGAATCCCCAGCTTCTGCTAATCTAAGGGGAAGGAGAGCGGCGCCTTTTTCCCACAGCAGCGCTCCTTCCAGTTAAGTCACCTTGGCTGCAACCCTCCACCAGGTTCTGAGAGAACTACAGAGAAAGCCTCTTAATTACAGACAGAACTTAATAAAAATGAATTGCAAAGTAAGTAGAAGCTAAGCGTTCGGATCATAAACGCGGCTGTAAAGAGGATTAACCCTGCTTCAGTCATGCAACAATGAGCAGTAAATGTTTAGAGCTGAAGGGCCAACAGCACTTCCAGCTTCTCCAGGGAGAAAATACCACAAAACATACAAAGATAACACAAAAATAGAATTGATCAAATAAACCAATTCATTATTATAGACATGCATTAACCTTCTGCTTCTTTCATTTAACATGTATTTTTTTTCCCCCCTCCCCTGTTTTTTTCTCAAAAGGTTTAACCCCAAATGATCTCTGACACCCCAGATGTGACAAAGTCCGAAATGTCATTAAGGGATTCTCCTCAGTGGGACCAGAAAGAAGCTCAGGTTCTGGTTGGAGGAGCTGCTGCTCAGCTTCAAGTGTTCAGTCAATTTTTGCAAAAAGAGAAACATTAGTTCCTCCTGTAGAGATAATCCAGAGTCGGGTTTTCTCAGCTTTACTTTTTACAGGTTTCCTGGCAGAGCTCACATTGCTTTGCACCGTAACAAGGCTCCCACAGCATCACTTATCCTCCACCATGCTCAATGAAGGGCTGTGAAATTACAGTTATTGAGACACTGGTGACTTTGGTATAATCGGCTCTTATGGTGACGTTTCTCCTCACTGAATAGATTTACTTCAGTTAAGGGTTGCAGCTTTTTTTTTTTTTTTCAGGACAGCTTTAATATAAGAAAAAATTAAAATCAGGAAAACAATCTTTCACTCTTGATTTCCTCCTCCTCAGTCACTAAAAACACATTTCATCGCACTTTTACAATATTTAGACCTTTAAACCCAAATCAGAGATTAATGAGTCATGATTTATTTTGCTTAATTCTAAAATCCCAATTATTTTGTAACTATTTGTAACTACTATTCCAACTATTGAGCTTTAAGCAAACAGTGGTTTTAACATTTAAAGGATAAAAATCTACTTATTTTTATTGAAAAAAAAATCTTTTTTAGTAAAAGGTCATATAATTAGAATAAATACATATATCTGAAAATACAAAAAGGGTTTAGTGCATCAGATTAGAGATAAGTAGAAACCTATAAATCAATAAACTTAGTCAGCTTTGAATAAATAAGACCTTTAAATTTATAGTGGAGGATTTTTGCAAATTTTTTAAAACAAATGCACATGCACAACCCCGTACCCGAGGGTTTAATAGAGGGAACGTGCATTAAACCCATGCAAAAGCGTGCACGAGACCATTTCTCCTCGTGCACGCTCTGTTTAAAAGTTGCTGTTTGCATCGCTCATACAAGCTTACTTTCCAAAAAAAGATTCACATTTTTTCCAATATATCAGACTCACCGCCGGTAAGTGAAAATGGGGACAAGCACGTAGGACGGCCTTATGTAAAGATATAACCACAATGATTGACAATTTGGAGGACCACTTATTTTGATGATCCACCCAGAAAAAGATCATCCTCCACTATACCTTTAAGTTTCCTAATCACTTCCAATTTTCCAAGTGCTGTAAACCTCCTCTATCCATTCACAAGGACCACATGATCTACTTCCCCTTAACTGAATCATGGTGTTTCTCAGCTTTAGCTAAAACCTGTTTCTGCAACTTAATGCATAAAGTTGCCATGATGTATTTATCTACAGCAGACAAACACCAAGCATGTCTTAGTCTAGTTCTAAAGGAGAACAATAAAGGCCTTCTCATTTGGCAGTCATAGACTCATCAGCCCAAAGACTGAAACTGACTTATGAAGAAAATCATAAACATACCACAGCATCTGCATTGGCTGATCTAGTCTCCGCCCCTTTTCTATAGCTGTGGATGTCTGTGCTGAGGATGAAAACTGCTACAGCGACACACTTCCACTTGTTTCATTGACACTTTTGGAAAGCAAACAGCCTTCTTCCTTTTTGGGAAAGTAAGGCCTAAAACAATAGAGGGGAAAGGCAGAAAGGAAAACTGGATTTTCTGCATCCGTGAAGCTGCAGGGAGGGTCGCATGTAGTTGAATCATTTTCACGCAAATCTTTCAACTTTGCAGCTAAACATGTCAAACCCTCTGAATAAAACCATTTCTCTTCCATGACCTAATAGGTTTGTGTAACATATCAGATCCTTAAGTGAACTACAAGAGGGGCTCTTTCCCTAATGAAACGTGATAGTCACCACTTATAAAAGGCAATTTCAAGTGTTACCAGCGGGCAGGAAAGACTCACTGACCTCATGAAGAGCCTCACTGGCGACTTGGTGCCCAACATCTGGAGAGGAAGGAAAGAATAAAGGAAGAGGACATCAGAAATGAGTCAGACTTTCTGGGGTGCAGCCTGTCATCAGCTCATAATGAACAAGTTGAACAAAAATACAAGAGTCGATAAAAACGTCCAATTGTTCTATCAATCAGCTCAAATGAGGAAAAACTTCAGCCTCCTTGGAACGGTCCCACCTTGTTTTTATTTTATTATTCTTTCACGGGCAGAGGTTTTATCCACTTTATGGGAACATAAAGTTTCAAAATAATGAGCAGACGCAGAATATGGCCAAATAATGGAGTGTTTCAGTGGAGTCATTTGACAGCTGATTAATATGACGTGTAGCTATTATTCAAGACGTAAACTATGTTGGTTTTAATAAAGTTTCTGCTTTAGTTTGAAGAGCGACAATGTTTTCAGGAAACCAAAACCAATCAGTCCAGACAGGAAAACAGCTGCAGTGTTCATATTTCCCTTATTTCAACCTTCCATCTGTTCTGATCTTTTAACCAAACACACTATCTAGGTGTGTAGAAAGTAATTCATGAGTGCCAAAGCCCCAGCTGATGACTCAGTGATTTCATTTCAGTGTCTTGGTTAAATGATTGATTGAGGTCCAGTAAAAGATGAACCCACCCATTTCTGGCTGCTCCCTCCATCACTCACTCTTATTACAAATTCAAGTTCATGTGAGTCATCCTGTCTGGACAGGGCAGCTCGGCAAACAATGACTGGTTCCTCCAAACGTCTACAGACACAGGAAGTTTCTCACTCGGACACGTTTCTACCAGGACGTCCCAAAAAGGGAAAGTCTTCTCGCAGCCTGGCGTCCTTCCTGACCACATCTCACCTCCCCTGTGCCTCTTGCCCTTCTGCTTCTCCTGGACCTTCCTGGTGAAATGTTTGTAGGCCTCCGTTTTCTGGTACTTCTCCAGCTCTCGCATGTAGCGCTCCTTATCTCGCTCCGCTTCATCCAAATATCGCTGCAGAGAGAGAGAGAAGACTTAAAGGTGAGAGAGGAGGAAAATGAGATTTGGCCAAATTGAGATAGGGGTTAATTATTGCTCATCAAGATTTCCTTTGGAAGATAAAACTCTGAACTCTCCACTGTTGGTTATCCATATTCTTCATTTCCCTCAACAGAGACCTTAACTTCAACATCATTTATAAAGAAATTCATTCAACTATGGCTGGGCGATATGGCCTAAAATAAAATCTCTGATTTATTTATTTCTAATTAGAAATACGATTCTTTTCCGATTTTCCCCCCAACCTCTAAACCTCCACATGATCCCCTGCCATCCGTTGTGCATATTTACACTACAAACACCAGTTAAACTATTAACATTAAAGATCTGTTATACTCCCTTAGAAATCATAGATTCTGTACAACTCAAAAACTAAGTTTTTTTTTTTTTGTGGACACCATGAGAACAATTAATGAAGATATAGCAGCGTATTAAATCAACATTTTTTAAAATAAAGCTTCGACTTTTGAATCTTAGATTGTTTATATTCCATTTGTCCGTAAGGGTCCTCAGATAAAACAAATTCAGCATAATTGTAATGAAGAAATTCCAAGATGAGAAAATTGCCACATAAAATCTTTTTTTTTAACCATCAGAAAAGTCCCATCCTTATAGCTAATGCTAACAGTTTTGCTAATGACCCCAGCTTCCACAAGCATTTCTGGTTGATGTTTGGTACGTTTGTTTTCATCACCTTCCAGCCTAGGCTTCTAGCTGAGGTTTGTTGGTTTGTTCGTCTCAGAGAGACTGGCATTTATCATATTCCTCTGAATGTCTCTGTTTAAAAGGCTGAAAAAGGTTTGTGATGCTGCTTCCTTTAACTGCGACTGTCTTTAGGTAAATGTGGCAGCGTGCGGTTTCTTAGGGTTTCCAAACCAGTTCCAAACGCTGGATGATTCTATTCCTTTTTTCAGGACTAACTAACTTCCATTCGGATGGGTAGCCATGATGTTACTTGCCGAACTGCACTGTGGGAGTAATACTCCAGCTATGGAAGCCCTGGGGAGCCAAAATTGTGGCGTTATACAAGAAAAAAGTATTTTCTTTTTTTTCTTTTTTAAAAACACCTGCAACAAAAAATTTAAATTCATTGCATCGATTTTTCGCCCAGGCCTGCATCAAACTGTATCATCTTAGCCGAACGGCCTGTACCTTCCACACAGGCTGATCAGATTAAACTTTATAAACTTTATAAGAGATGCAGATGCGTCTCAGTGCCAATGAGAAGTTTAATGCAGCTAAAAGTGAGGCGAGCCTTTGCAGGCAACTCAACAGGTTGGTGGTTCACCGTCCAACAGAACAGGGACTGCTGGAGAAAATGCTGGAACGACCTAGCCAAAGTTAAGACTGCAACACAACTGGAAATCAACGGTGATGAAATGCATATATATACTTAACTTCATTCCTTCCTGTGTTGTAGACGTTTTATGCAGGTTTTTATAAAACAGATGGGAACCACGTGGGAAGCTCTAAAGCAGCTTTTGCAACCTTCAAAATCCAAAAACCCTGAACGTAGCTGAATAAAAGCACATTAGAGATAACAGGACATTTTGATAAAAGACAGCCCATTTCTGTGAAATATCTCTTAAACGAACTGTGTTTTGGTACCAGAACCAAAATTGAATTAGTATTTTTGGGTTTTAGAATGAAGAAAAGCATCTTTTCCATAAACAGGAAACATTGATTTTCTGGATGTTTATTTGTGGAAGATTATTTAAAACTAAACACACAAATATAATTGTTCTTTTGTCATTTTATTTTGTTGTGAAAATAAAATTTCATTCCACTTTCAAAAATGGTTGAAGCCTCTAAAACTGGCCTCTGTTATTTTAGCCATTGCAGGAGGTCCAAATAGCCCCTCATGACTCGAGCCGCAGCTTACAGACCTCTGCTCTATTACCTGCAATGTGTCAAACTGCGTTAACCTGGAAGGGAGAGAAATAAGGTTTTGTGAAGAAAGGATTTCCTTCTGCTAATAATAATAATAATCTCTTTTGCCACATTTACACTACCCCATGAGACCGATCTGTGTCGAGGACGGACCGAGCATGGATCAGTTATCTGTGCCCAGCTTGGTTCTTACGACCATTTTCACATCACAGCAGCACGGTTCCTCGCCTCCTATCAGCTGTCCAGGATACTACAGTTCTAAAAGACGGGAATTACGCAAAGAAAAATCTATGTGCCTTGATAGCGTCCTCAGCCCAAATTCAATGGGAGCCGTGGCCTCTGCATCATCCCAGGTCACACCACTCTCTTTTGATGCCATTTATTGTTAATAGGCTGAGAAGCAGTCTGTGTTGTGAACAGGTGAAGAGATCTGTGAATTACAAAGCTGGACACACCAGAAAACCAGCAAAATGAGTCAGCTGACTGTAAACAGGAGATGACGCAGTGTACTCATGCGCTCTTTGTTATCGGAGAGCCGAGCCCTACTGTTGAACTAGTGCTAGATTTAGTAGTGTTTGGTTGTGTCTGGCACGGTCCAGTTCAGTTGCGTTCCATTTACACTCAACAGTTATCTCGGTAACCATGCTCTGACCTTTATCGACATGGTTTCAAAACAGTAGTGTAAATGAGGCTTTTTGGTTTCTGATGGTGTTCTGTGACAGTCTAAACGGTTAGCACACTGCGCTCGTTTACGTCTCCCTCTCTGGGCACCACCGCAGCAGGAAAAGAGAGCCAACACAAACAGCACATCTCAGACATTTCTCTTCACACTTGTAAGCTCTGAGCTGGAAACGTCTCATCTGACCTGCTTCTCCTCCGGGGGCAGCTTGCTCCACTCATTGCCCAGCATCCTGGTGATCTCTGGGAAGGGCACGTCTGGACGCTCCGCCCGCAGCTGCTCCCGCCTGTCGTTCATGAAGCGAACGTAGCCCGTCAGGGGAGCTTTAGGTGCGTTGCTGTCCTTCATAGGCTTCTTTCTCTTCCTCCCTTTGGTCCAGCTGCCACGCCGAGGCTTCTGCAGAAACAACAATAAAAAGAGATGTGACTGGGTGGTGCAGGTAGCAGCTTGTCTGTGATTTGCACCGGTGGACCTTTCATGGAGTTTCCTTTGGAAAAAGTGAAAAATACGTCATTTGATATTTGTTAACCTCTTACCTCATCGCCATTTCTCTGGCTGCTGTTGTCAGTGTTGGCTGCAGGAGAGCCCGTCTGCTCATCCATCACTTTTTATGAACATGAGGGAGAAAAAGAAATGAATATGAATAGAGGGGAAAAAAACCCTAAGATCTAGAGATTGATTAAGTATTTATGTAATGACCTGAAAAGGTGGGGCTTTATTGGAGCCACCAAATGGGACGCGCTCTGCTGCCTAAAAATGGGTCGACTATTGAGAGACTCTGGGCCTTTTTCTAATACATAGAAGCACTGAAAAGTAATGCCAGGAAATAGACTGCTCCTTTTACAGCTGGAGCTACTTTTCCTCCAAACTCCTCCCGGTCTTGGCTCAAAAACGACCTTCTGGCTGACCATGTTTCCTCTAATAGAAAAGTCTGGCTGCTATCAATCATTAACGAAGAAGTGAAGAAAAAGAAAACCGCATTCACTGTAAACGCTAAAGCAGTCATATCTAAACAGGGATGGTGTCGCAAAGGAAATCTAGGATGATGTTGAAATCAGGATCTTACTTTCCGACTCAAAGAGAAATAAAAAGCCTGCTCCCTGTGGGACATTATATTAACTCCTAGCAGCAATAAAAAAACACACCAAACTTCTTAGTAAGACCAACAGTAGCCTGTGTGTGCCCTGACACCAGGTGGGAAACCCCACGCAGCTAAGAAGTAAATAAAGTCTTACAACCGTATCAACTAAGAGATGTTATATCTCAGAAAAAAATGGGTTTAATTCAGTGAGACTGATGGAATTAACCAGAAAAACATCTTTGTTTTCAGCTGAAGGCTGCCGGAGCTTTGCTACAAGGATAATTGCTAAAGGGACTGTTGAACTGTTGAACCTCTAACCAAGCCACAGATCAAGTTTCTGCATCACACTTGTAAACATCATATTCGCACTACATGGGGAATTTTCAAATCCCTTTAAATAGAACTGTTTCTACTGCATTTTGCACCCTATTCTTCTTATCAGTGCTAAACTTTATGAATAGAAATGTTAATTTCACTGCTGTAAGCTGCTCATTCGCTGTTGAAAAGCTGTATGCATTGAAATTTCGATTTGTATTCACTCTGTGCATACAAAATGACAATAAAGTTTGTCTAAGTCTAGGTTTGCTACCAGGATTGAACTCCCTGCAGGTCATCTGATAACTGAGCAACACTGCCCTCTGCTGGGGAAAACCTAGAAGGAACCATCAAACAGAGCCAGCTTGGAGGTGAGTCAACATTTTATTAGTAAAGACCAGGGTTTGTTATCACACCTTTTTGCCCTTGGAATGGTTGTTTTGGGATGTAAACATCCTATATCAATATTTGATTGATCAAATATTAAATAATATTATCATATATCAAAAAAGACTATCTGCATTGAAGTAATAGACTTCAAGAAACTCTTAACAACAAAATCTGTAGGCTGTGTTACAGTAGTCAATTTATTTTTGTAATAGAACAGGTCAGAGACAGAGGGGTGAGTTTAGAAATGGTTAAAAATCATTAATTTGAACCAATGAAACTAAGCAGCATTATTATAATAAGCTTTTAATAAGGCCACCAGAAATACTGAGAACAGAAGTGTTGACGAACATCAGCTAGAGGAAAATCACAATGTTATCAAAAAAACAAAGGTCTGTTTGCTTTCAATACAGAACTAACACTGCTCAGTAGGGTGACCAATCAAAACTGCTAAAATATGAATTATTTTCAAAGATTTGTGTGCATCCTAAAAATGACTCCTGCAGTATAGTCAGACTGTCAATTCAAAAGCATAATATAAGGAGTAAGAAGCAACCAGGTTTTACTGACAATCAAAGAACCTGTTTATCGTTTTAACGTCGCTCACAGAAATAATTTAAAGTCTTAACAACAACCACAGTATTTAAAAATGTTTTCCAGGTGTAAACTGATAATAAGTAGCTTATTTTGTTTGTTTAACGTATTATAAAAATAGGCTTAAAACTCTTCTCTAACAATTTGTGGGATACCATAGAGTTCAGTTAGTGAGTCATGAGGCACACAAGATACAAAAAACCTTACAGTTATAATAATCTAATAATAAATATAATAATTGGGTGGCTCCTAAGTCATTGCAAAAAACAGAAATGTAAAATAAACACATTTTTATGCATGTGGCAAGATTCTAATAAAAATACAAAACAAAAAATAAATAAAGGAAGAATGGCTGTAGATACTAGTGAAAAGGATGTTAAAAGAGGACAGTATAGTACCAAAAAACATTATTTTAATGCTCCGTGATACTAGTTTCCCCATACAAAATCATTTATGTTTCACACAAAAATAAAATAAATCATAGTAGCTTCTGATCAAATCACTCTTGAAAACCTGAACAGTGCACATTTAAAGTACTATCAACAATTTATTTGGTTTAGTGTCCAGTTTAAAAAGAAGAAATAAAATTGTTAAAACTGTAAATCAGATGATTGTGCCTTTTTGTCATCGGGTTTAGCAAAAAGCCATTGATTTTATTAGGGTTTTCTGGAGCAGGGATGTATCTAAAAGCAGGATAGTAACTTTTACAGACAGAAGTGGGAAAATTAGCTGCTTACAACATATTTAATTAGTGTATTTGATAAAATATTTGAGATAAGACATTTGGTAGCAAAAATCCAAAACAACCAAATGTTGAAATTCATACAATAAAAACACAGATATGCATCTTATCTAAGTTTGTACAGAAATACCTCACCTCTGCTATTATAATAATTTGCTGGGCTTGTTTCTCTATAGACTCGCAGACGAAAAGTAATGTTTAGATTAAGGTAAAAAAAAAAAAATTGTGTAAATTTAACTTTCCCCGTTCCGAAATTCACAAAAAAGACACTTGAATGTCAATAAAACATAAAGAGATTAGATTTCAGATAGATGTTAGCAGCTAGCATCACCTCCTGCAGGGATGCTAACGCTGTCACACAGCTATTAACAGCTATTAACAATTTAATACTTCTGAGTCCCACTTTTTCCGTTATATGTTTCTTAAGCCATATCATGTCATAAAAAACTGTCTATTTAACACTACAGAAATAAATATAACTGTAACAATAAACCAAACTGCGGAGCTAATGGCTAATTTAGCATCTAGCTAGCATGAGCGCTAAGTTGGCAAGCTGCTGACGAAACACGGGTACAGGAAGGGTTGTTTTTGGCTCCTTATTATAGAGCTGTTTAACATGCATAGAAGACATTATTTTCATAGATATAGTGATACCAAAGTGTTGGGAACTAACCTTGGTAAAAAGTGATCCGAAGCTGTAGCAGGGACGTATCAACCAAAACAATACAGCAGCTACACCATAGAACCACAGGAGATAGAAACGGTGTTGATTAATGTCTTACTATAATCCAGCTAATCTCAGCTAAATTATTTGAAAAATGGGTGATATTTTAAACTGGTAAAAATGATACTAGATACGAAACGTATATTAGTGATGTAACCTAAAAATATATATATATAGTTACAAAAACTATCTTTTAAATTCTGGTTTATTTTCTATATTTTCTAGTTCTGTGACTGATCGTTCTTCGTCGAGGGTGTATTTCCAGAAGCTTTGTCCACCTCTGGTTCTCTGCTGCCCCCTGGCGTTCATTACGTTTTAACGCAGCGCAGCAACAGTTTTCAGTGACCTTTGTATGAGTTTGATGCACAGAAGAGATTCTAGGATCAGAGGTTTCAGATTGCTGAGGATCCAGAGAGCCCTCTGCCCTGGCAGGATATGTTTCAGGCTGTTCTACATACATTTTCTACATTTTTGAAACTTTCTCAGTGCTACTGACTCCAATATCCACTAACCAAAGCAAAAGGGAACTTTTTTTTTTTTTTTTTTTTTTTTTTAAAGAAGAGTATTCATTGAAAGCTTTTTGGGAACTAGAGCAGTTCCAAAATGTTCAGGACCAGTAGTCTTATTCCCTAAATTAGGGGTCTTCAACGTTTTCCAGGCCAAGGCCCCCTAAAATGATGGCGAGATGGAGCAGGGACCCCATAATTTTATATATATTGTATGAAATTGTGTTATATCAAACTGGCTCGATAGTCACTCTATTACAGATGGAGTAATGTAACGAAAGTAATTTCTCCCTGGGATTATTAAAGTATTTCTGACTCTGATTCCCCGTTGATGGGACAGGTGTTGTGAATGAAACGGTGCCCAGCTTGAAAGAGCTCCTGTGTGTTGCTGAATGTGTGCATTGATGACTGGAAGACATTTTCTGCCTCCATGTATCTGTTTACTACATTGTGTTGAATTCATGTTAATGTGTATTTAAAGACATTTCAATTAGTGGAAAAAATTGCAGGTATATAAAAAAACAGTCTACCAAATCTACTAAATCAACCAAAACTTTCACGACCCCCATGAATTACCTCCATTGACCCCCTAGGGGATGCGGACCCCCTGTTGAAGACCTCTGCCCTAAACCAAAAGGCAGATTTTGAGATCCTTTTGCTTGATGGGCGGTCTGCTGCTCCCTCTGTCTCCTCTTCTTCTCTTTCCCTGCTCTAATCTCTCTCATCTACCTGTTGTTCTTCTCCTATAGTGAAATTAACCAAGTAGTAAAGCATATTGGATGCTCCCTGGACTCAGTTCAGGAGGCGGTAAGCAAAAGGACTCTAATTACAATAGAATCTCTGTTGGATAATGTCTCTCACCCCACCCATGAAGCAGTTTCAGAACTGGAGAGCTCCTTCAGTGACAAACTGCTGCACCCTAAATGCACCAGGGAGCGTTATCACAGATCCTTCCTCCCAATAGTTGTAAGACTCTATAACCAATACTGTTCCCAACAATAAGTTGTTAAATTCATGCTGATTTTTGCACATTTTCTGTCTTAGTCAATTAAATAACATGCAGCTTTCAGTTTTTGCACATCTCTGGTGTTGCTGCTGTTTCACATATCCATTAATGTAAAAATGTCAGCAGCTGTTATTGATTATTTATTCTCCAGATACAGACTATTATTTTGCAAAACAGTACAGTACAGTATTCTATTTATTTTATTTTCTTATCTGTTCTTTTTATACCCTTTTCTAAGGTGGACATTGTGTGACCACTTCTAATCTTTTGCTTCTTTAAACACCACAATTTCCCCATTGTGGGGCAATAAAGGGATTTTCTATTCTATTCTATTCTATTCTATTCTATTCTATTCTATTCTATTCTATTCTATTCTATTCTATTCTATTCTATTCTATTCTATTATGTGTATGGGTGCCTCTGGAAGCATTTATCACATAACTTCCATAATAAATGTGAAATTACCTTCTCAATGTAAGGTTTTTCTTTGTCAGCTTAACGGCTGCTGTTTTAGCTGCCACTATTCTGTTTGTTTCTTACCTATTTGGTCCTAAGCTTTGCACTTTCCACACAGCTTCTCTTCTCCTTTCATTGTCAGGTGTTCTTTCATGTATAAAATACCAATATATATATAAAAGTTTCTTTAGACTTCCTGTAACTTTTATGTTAATGAATATCATCACAGCTCCTGGTAAATTGATTCAATCCAAATCACATCTGCAATCTGCAAATTTAGAAGGTTAATGATAAATAACAGCCTAATCATTTGGGTATTCCTGGACATTTTTGCTCTATTGAGCTTTAGCTGTCTCTGAATAAAAAACCACAGCATAGTGCACATAATCAATAAACTCTGGAATATTAAAATCTACTTAATCAAGACTGACTTTAAAAAATTGAATGAGTAAAATGAAGTTACTGAAGCAGTAAGATAACTATCAGTAGTTTAAGTTAATAAAAATGAAATTGTTAAAAAACCTACATGCAACCAGCCTACTGAAAGATGAGAAGCACAACAAAAATGAAATAACCCTAATCTTGTTTATTAGGGCTGCCTCCACCATCAACCAGCAAACATCTGTGCGCATTTTACACATTTGTCAGCCTCTGCCTGATGGGCTTTTCTCTTTTTAATCATTATTTTTCCATCGCCTCCTTTTCCTTTCTTGTCTCTCTTCTTGATAGTCTGCTCCTCTCTCTGTGTTAATTGATTGGCAGCTGTGGCCCCAGAGGGAGTGGCCCCTCGGCTGCCCTGACTGGTACAACCCGGAATCAGTTAACTACCAATTTTTGTGCAGCAATAACCATAGTGGAAAAAACAAACAAAAAAATAATCTGGCTCAAAATCACAATCGGCTCATCAGGCAAAGTGCCAATCTTTGGATTACTGTAAGAACATAGTTTGTTTGTTTTTTTTCCACACTGAGCTCAGAGAAAGGCTAAAATGTGAATTTAAAATGAACACATCACATATCAAGAGTCAGGTGGGAATAAGATAGCTGAAGCTGGATCCTAATTAAATCTTTCATTGCAATCTCATACCAATTATCCCGAGTTAATCCAACGAGGTTCCCAGGCTCATTACACACAGGTTGGCCACATCAGGCTGCCTCTTGTAGATTAGCTAATGAAGTCACTAACCAAACAGAGGCAGACAGTTGTTAACTGATAATGGTGCACATCTAGAAAGTAATCCAAACAGTGGCTGGGGACATGAATGATCTAAATCCATGAATAGAAATCACTTTCAACCATTCCTGATGTTTTTCCAGCCTCCATTTCATTACACTGCAGATTAACACTCTGGAGAAACAGGTTGAGATAACAGTAGAGCGTTGCTGATTCTGCACTGCAAGTCAGAACTTTACATATAATTATCGTCAGGATGACATTTATTAAGTGATTTACATAATGCATTTATAACAGTGGGGATTTATCATTGAATACTAAAAAGGCTAAATGTCCCCTTTAAATTACGTCAAATTTTTGGTAAAATAGACATTGTCAAACTTCAGAAATGTCATGATTAAACTGCAATAAATATGCACTAAAATGCGCCTGATTTCTTGAGTATGTTGAACATTAATCAGCTGGTTATTCTGTTCTAAGACACCATCTCCCCTCAGCTCTGGAGCAGCAGGATGCCGCCTGTCAGCCTCCATGGCTGTGTCCAAATGTCCGTCCTAATCTATAGGGCACTATATAGTGGTAACGCTATTTTAAATTAGTGTCCAAGTATCTAGTGGATGAAAAAGTAGTGGACTCAAAATTTCCCACAATGCACCTTGAATGCACAAAGCACCCATAGGCTGTCGCTACCTGACAGCATCGACAAATAACAAAGATGGTGCAGACACCATGCAGAGAGTTGGAGTCCCGTGATTACCGGGGAACAAAAAGTCTGAACGGTCAATTAACTGAGTTCACTATAAAATCCACTATATTTTTATATTCTTATTTTGTTTCTGCATTTTTTTATTTGATTTTATTTATTTTTTTCCCTACTTGCTTTGATTCTGTCTTATGGTCTGGTCACTAGCTGAGCAGATACGTACATCCTGGAATACTCTCCTCAAAAAGCATTATGGGATCTGCTGTCACAGCGGCCTTCTGTCTCCTACAGCTGTCGCTACCCTACTGTGGCGACTAATAACAAAGATGGCACAGGCACTGTGTGGTGGAGGAAGAGTTACGTGACCTACGGGGAGCGAAAAGTAGTGATCATCTGTCCGAACCGTCAGTTAACTGAGTTCACTATAAAGTCCACTATATAGTCCCCGCTCTATATAGTGATTGAGGGATTTAGGGGTTAGGGCGGACTTTCGGACATAAACTAAACATCTTAGGGGGTCTATGGAGCAGAGGCTGGTCATGAAGCTGGCTGCGAGATGCAGATTGGTTAATATGCCTAAGAATTGTTGACTGACATTAGCCAGACAACAAGGAGATTTTCCACATGAGTTAAGAGGTTAAAGTGATCATTTAGTCAGTTTGTCTGGAGTTTAATATTTCCGAGCGCTTCACAATAGCTATTCTCACTTGTTGTAGTAATGTGTTTTATGTGTTTCAACATTTATTAATGCAATACATAACATTTGGTTTTTATTTAGCACCACTGAGCCTCTGCTGTTTCAGAGAGCAGCTACTGCCACTGGTTTAAACTAGTCTTTTTTCCAGGGTGGATTGATTGCTCAACACACATCTACATACAATCTGGAAATAAGGATTGGATGCACAAGTGTGAGTTTATTGCTTTTTTCTGCATAATTATACAAGCAGGCTCCAATAGATAATAACCCCTAAGCAACTGAACCTCAACCTACACACAGTTTGTAGCCATAAGCAAGCTCCTGCTATAATTATTGCTGGAGATTTGCTGGCTCCTTTAGGCAGGATCGGCAAAATTAATTTAAATTGGCTGCTTCCTGCCTGTTAAGCAAAGTGCAATATTTGAATAGAAATGGATGTGAGGCTTTCCAAAAGCTTAATCTGAGGCTATGCAATCTATTTCAAAAGTTAAGCGTGTTTTACAATCCGTCCTCTCTGGGAGCTGAACTACATCCATATTTTAAACAGGACCTGCCCCACCTAGAGGAGAGAATATAGGTTAGAGATCTATCTGCAACAGCCCCACAACCACCAGGACCAAACTCACCACTTGTTTTATGCCACTGCTCCAAACGCCATCGAACTAGCTTTAAATATTCAGCTGCTTAAAGAGGT